CACCACCACAACTACCACCACCACCAACTGATGATAATAAGAAGAGAATAGTAATAACAACAACATGAATAATGATAACAATATCACGCCCTGTACCTAGGACCCTTTTTTTACACCTGGACTATGCATATGCCTAGGACCCTAAACCCTAAACCCCGAACTTTACTTAGGAGTCGTTGTGGACGGGCAGGCCACCATCTGGCGCAGCCGTGCCGAGGCGTCCGTGTCCTTCTTCTGCAGGGAAGGCTCGTGGTAGCCCTCCGGCGCCAAGACACCTCCATAGGCTTTAGGGTTTAGTGTTGGGTGTTGGTTTTACAGGCTCTATGTTTAGGGCTGGGGCTTTTGGGTTTAGTTCAATGAAAGGCTTTCGGATACCATTTGCGGTATATACGGAGCCACAAATCTGGGGCCCGTGTTTCGGAGTCGGCTTATGAATAGCTCTGGAGAGCTACACGACTTCTACATGTCGTGCTCGAAGATATGCTTCCTACTGTGCTTTAAGAGATGTCTTGCGGTCATACGAGTTCGGGGCCTAGCTGAATAGTTTCACATTCGCAGATGCATCTGCCCAGGTGCCAACAAAATCTTGTCTGCTAGTGGCAGCGGTTGATACCAGTATCTCGCCGAGACACATCAGAGAGTGGTGTAGTTGAAAGATCCTGCTTACCACCGCATGCAGCAGAATCAAGAGAATAACGGACCCCAACTCAGAACCCTATCGTAAGCTTCCCCTAATGTGAAGTGTAGGATGCCTGCTGAAATGACCTAAACAAACAAGCCCCCGAAGTGCCCTAAACCCCAAACTTTAAAAAAAAACTGAATCCTACCTAAACTTCCCTAAACCCTAAACCTCACACCCCAAACCCTGAAACCCTAAACCTAAACCAGAAACAACCCTGAACCCTAAACCCTCAACCATAACAAAATCTCAAAGCTTCAAACTCGAACCCTCAAACCCCTAAACCCGTGAAACCCCGGCAGCCTCCCCGCCAAACAAAGATGGAGCTGCCGCCACCTCCAGTGGAGCTCTCGTCCACCAGCTCTGAATCCTTTTGGCTTTCCGGGATTAGGGGGCTTAGGGGTTTGGGGGATAAGTTCGGGGCTTAGGGTGTTTTGGGTTTCGGGGTTTAGGGTTTAGGGGCTTAGAGGTTTAGGGTTTAGGGGTTAAGGGCTTATATAGGTTCGGGGCTTGGGGATTTTGGGTTTACGCACTCACAACTCGGACAAGCCAGGCGAGATTCCATAGTTGCAGGTCGGCGTGATATTGACAGATGGTTAGCTTGCCCGGTACTATCCAAGAGGACTAGGAAAAAGAGGATGCCAACAGCAAAAAAGTAAGAAAAGACATGGACCCAGGCAAGCTTCTTGAGTTCATCGTGGTCTCCATGGTAGTCTCAATCCCTACAGAATCTACGCTTCGCAGCTAGCCCTAAAATAAAGTAACCCGTGGACCCGAGGCCTCGCCTCATGTCTTGCACTCAATTTGGTCTCACTTGCAGCAAAGCCAAACTGAGGGGTCTGAACAAGCACACCATTCCGAGCCTGTTTTAGGAGCTTCAGGGTAGAGTTCTTCAGGCTCAGGGAATATGGCTCAGGGTCTGAATCGTTTAGGGTTCAGGATATCCGGCTTCTAGGGTTTAGGATTCAGGGGTTGGGGTTTAAGGTTTAGGACCTCGGGCTCAGGATTTAAGCGGAGCACATGCCACTTGAGTTCTTCACCGCACCCCCCGGAACCTGAACCTGGGGTTTTAAGCCATACGAGCCTCACCGAAAGAATCAAGACTCCTCTTTTGAGAGCTAAGGACAGGGTCAGCAAACCTGTACAACAAAAACCATCAAAAGCGCCAAGAGCCCCGAAAACCCCCAAGCCACCACAACCATCACAAGAGCCCGATACAAACCCTTTAGGGTCGGCAAGGTTCCATCTCGCCACGAGGCAGGTCGATCAGCAACATCCGGTCAGCCTGCTGAGGTTAAATGGGCTTCGGTTTCGGGTTTAGGGGCATAGGCTATCGTTTTAGTGTTTAGGGTAGAGGCTGAGGTTTCAGCTTTGTTTAGGATGTAGGTTTTAGCTTCAGGTTCCATCATTGAGGGTTTGGTGCTCCAGCCAGGGTATGCGATGGAAAAAGTACGTTGGCAGGGATTTTGTCGCACCAGTGTCAGTCAATCCTCTGGCAGATGTTCTGATAAGGGTTCTCCGGGTGAGCTTTTTCCGAGAAGATTCCGTGGAACTTAGATTGACAGTTCCACAGAGTCTTCAAGAAATAAGCTCACCCGGGGAGCTCTTATCATTCACCAACAACATGGAAATCCGTCAACTAGAAAGTCAAACCTGAGTGCTACAGTGGTGCCCAAACTTCGTCTGGGATCCATGCAGTCCGGATGACTAAACCCTAAACCCTAAATCCCTTAGGCCTTGGATGGCAGCATCGGAATGCGGAACCACATGGTCAAGGAGTACTTGTTGATGCGGCGGTCGGAATTCCCATTCGGAGCCAGCCTGGAGGTTCGGGTTTAGGGTTTAGGGTTTAGGCTTGGCTGCCATACCGCCGTTCTTGTAAGTAAATGATTGAAAACCCCGGCATTCCCAAAATCTCTGAGCTTGATCAGGTTTGCCGGTATGGTTTGGATGTCAGGAAACAGGGACATGGCTTTCGAGGCTACTGGGGCTGTATTTGATCTCCCAGACCCTAATCAACGAGACTCGCGGACGTAGACCCACACACCTCAAACCTGCAAGCCCGAAACACTTAAGCCGTAGACCAGTATCCTTTTTGCTGCAATCATTCTGGTTCTTACTCTTGCTGTTCGAAGCATTGCGTCCGCGTCCTAACCCAGAGCGACGGTGTGCACGCATGGATAACAAAGGGTTTTGCCGTCAGCAGCATCTGTCTCGCCATCTGATGCCCTTGAAAAGAAAATCGGTTGCCTTAAGGCCTGGAGGTTCGTTGCTTAACTCGGGGCCCTAAACCCCGAAACCTAGACACCAACCCTTAAGCCTTAAACCCTCAACCTTACACCCTAAACCCTTATCCCTAAACGACGCTAGGGCCAAGTTGCTGGACACGCTGGACGGCCAGGCCGGCCCGAGCATCGAAGAGAAGGAAGTTCTTTCCTAGTGGCTTAGGGTTTAGCCTAAGGAGTTTGGGGTTTAGGGTTTAGGGGTTTCGGGTACGTCGAAATGTAGGGTGGTTCCAGGTAGGGGTTTGGCGTTAGGGTTTGGGGTTCAATTGTTCAACTTGTTTAGGGCTTCAGATGGTCGTAAAACGGATTGGGGCTCTAGGTAGTACAAGGAGTGGGGAGGTCCTGATTAGAGGTTACTTCGTTGTAGAATGAAAGGGAGTGGACTGTCGCTCCAGGTATTGGGGTCAAAAGGTTGCGGTTTTAGGGTCTACAGGTTGTTGTTGGATTTTGGGAGCTAGTTTCGGGCTTGGAGTCACATGTGCAGTACTTCTGGATTCGCTTAGCCTTGAAACTGAAACCTGAACCCTAACTCCCGGGCTAATTGGAGCCAAAGGCATCGCATTAAGAGTTGTAGCACTCTGGCTCGCTCCCTTTACATAGCCCCTACAATGCCAAGAAACCCGGGACCCCCGGCTTAGATGAGCTCAAGCTTTCGTGCTTCGAGATGTATGCCTCAAGGGACTAAAGGAGAGACCCTTAAAGGGACCCTTGGGGTTATAGAGTGAGACTCTATAAGGGGTATATAAGGGTTATATAGGGTATTAGGATTAGGAGTCCCTTCCGGGGGTCCCTCCTATTGGCCGTTAAATGCCGGAGTCCTGTGCCTGAGTGGCGCATGCCACGATGACGGACAAAAGGTGAACGCCCCAGGTCCCTTCTTACGCTTTGTGTCTTCGGCGAGAGAGCTCACGTTTTGAATGCAACTTGTAAAGCACTGAATTTCTGAACATCGAAACTCAACCCCTGTCCCCTAAACCCCTACATCGACAATCTAGAAAGCCCTTATAGAAACCTACACAACGCCTATATAAACCCAAACAAAGCCTAAAGTAACCTCAAAACAGCATCGCACAGACTTGAAGGAACCCTCAGCCCTACCCAACACCCGCCATACGTCCCTACATCCCCAAACCCAAAACTTAAACCCGAAACCCTAAAGCCTAAACCTACCCTAAACTCCCTAAACCCTCAAATTCAAAACC